CGAATCCACCAGATGCTCTGCCGGGGAAGGAGGGGCAATCTCCTCCTGTACCAGTCAGATCTGATTTGACGGTACACGCACACAAAAATAATAAAAAAAAAAAGAGGGTAGACTTTATCTTGAAAGTTTCAAGATGCCTTTGAAGGAGGTAAATATGCAGGTGACAAGACAAAAACAATCTAGGGTTTTGCTCCCACCCCTTTAAAAAAAGATAAGAACCTGTATTACTATATTAAGACAGAGGAAATGAAGAGGAAAACCAAATTTGTGACAAATTAAAAAAATGTTAAACTAATAAAGAGAGAGAAAAACAATGAAGGAAATGGAGATATCTAGTGTTCTTCATTTCGTGGACAGTAGTGCTGGGACTGAAGAGAGTAGAACATACAGAAACACCTCAAAATACTCCCAAGCCTTCAGGCCTTTTGGAAGAGGCAATATTTAGTATGAAACTTAGAAGGTTAACAGAAATTAGACAATGTGTTAGAGTTTGAAAGTTGGGGTTGGTGTGCTATTAAACAGTGCTAACTCATTAATTGACAACAATGACTAAGGAGAGGTCAGAAGTAGCTTGATCATCAAATTTTGACTCTGTAAACCACATTAAGACCTTTGGATTTTATATTCAAGCTATGGAGATGATGGAAAAGTTTTAAGAACAACAATGTTGTCAGGAGCTGCTGAATCTATTTAGTCATTGCAGCCCATGTGACGGGAGAACCGCCCCCATAGTGTTTTCTAGGCTGTACTTTATATAGAAGCCTATTTTTACTGAGGTCTTCCCGAGTAGTTGCTGGGTGAAATGGAATTGCAAGCCTTTCCATTAGCAGCTGAATACTTGAGTACTGAATTGTTGCACCATCAGGACTCCTTGGGACAGGAGTTTCTCCTTTTGGAGAAGCTAGTTACTACTAATTTCAAATGGGCTGCAAGACTAGAATAAAGAGCGAGAGACAGAAAGAGAGAACTGGGTATTGAAAGGGGTTGAATAAAAATCAAACACATTTTAATACAAGGACTCATTCACTCATCCTTTTTTTAACTACAAACTTAGTAATTTATAAAAAGGGGGAAACATTTACTAAGTATAGTTATTTTAAAACTATTACATCAAATTCTTTAATTCTAACTTAGAAAAGAACAAGAAATACACTGAGATGGGCAGGCTGTAATAAATTATCACCATTTACTAATGAACTCAATAAAACTAAGATAAGAAAAAGAAATGAATCTACATCTAAAAGGCTATGGATGACAATCAGATTTCTGGCCTAGAGAAGTGAGTAAATGGTCACATCATTCATTAAGAAAGTAAACAAAGAATGACAAAATACTTGCATCCATATGTATGTATACAAAGAGCAGAAACAAAAATAATAATAAATACTGTTTTGAACAGGCTGCATTACAGGTTGATTCTGGTATTTAAGTACATTTAAACAGATATTGACATTCAAGATTGACAGATAAACACACTGACAGAGAGAAAAGTAAACTGAAGACAGACATCTGAATGCCAGTAGCATGAACATGGTTAACTAAAAATCTAAGAGAAGATTATAGAAAACTGGGTAGCATAAAATGATGGCCTAAGACAAACTGTTACTAACTCATCACTGCTTTATAATGTCAATATATTGCCACTGAGCCAATTCTAACTGATGGTGCCCCTCCCTCAGGTTTCTGAGGCTATAGATCTTTCTGAAAGGAGACTCCTTTCCTCTGGGTCGATTCAAATTGCTGCCCATTGGTCAGTAGCCAAGTGTGTAACAATTCACTATGCAGTTGAGAAGATACAGCAAGATGCAAAAATATAAAAGTTAGTAAAAGAAGATGTCTCAAAAACCAATGCAGAAGACATGGGTAAAATAAGAACTGTCAATAGTATTCAATGCTGTCAAGTTAAAACAACCAACAATGAAATTTTATATCAAGATCTTTAAAATTTCAGCTATAAAAGTAAAGACTGGAAGGTGAGACAGAAGCCAGTGCAACCACAAACAACTCTTCAAGAAGTCTAGTTATGAGGAAAACAAAGAGAATATGGATATAAAAGAATTTATAATTGAAGGAGAGACTTTTATATTTTCCACATTTTTTAAAACAAGAAACCAACAGAGAGAAAAACATTGAAAAAAGAAAAGAAAAAATTATCAACAAAAGAGATGCTTGATTTAGGAGAGGATGAAATTCAAAGCATGGATAAAAGACTATCTTCCACAGAGTTGGACACATCTATATAAAACATCAAAAAGCAGAAGGGTATACTTAGAGTATTTTTTCCTCATATAAATTTATATAAGTTCTCCTAGGAGAGGAAAATTATGTAGGTTTGGGTACCTGTAAAGCAAAGTTTTAACAATGGTGTTCTCTGTGGCATGGTATGTTTATATTGTTTCTTTATGCACTTCTGTATCTTCTACTTAAAAAAAAAATAAATTCATTCCTCAAATTATAATGAATAATTCATCATTAATGTAAAAAAATTTAGAAAGACAAAAAAATCCTATTTCTTGATCTATAAAGACAAAAAAAATCCTATTTCTTGATCTATATGTATGTTTCATATGAGCATAATTAATGCTCTGAATTATTTACTATTCTCTTTTATTTTCCTTTTTTAAGATTTTAATTAAAATCTATAAAGAACTAAAAAAAAAAGAAAGAAAGAAAAGCAGAAAGGCTTAAATACCTATAATCTACCAGGTGAAAAATAACACCACTAGTTTGATTATTTAACACAGTTCTCTCAGAAAAAAAGGAGCTTTAATATGAACTCTAAGTTTGAACCATCAAAACTTCAATTCTCTGCCATTCAGATATGGAAGATTAACCTCCTGGCTAGTCAAATCTCCAATTTAAAAGAAAATAACTCTCTATTTAAAAAGGTAGAATTGAGGTATTTGGTGCACCTAATACAGGACATGGTCTTTGCAATCACTTGTTACGCATCAGAGACCTGGACAATGACAAGGGAGAATAGAAAGAGAATTGATGCCTTTGAGCTGTGATGTTGGAGAAGAGTATTGAATATACCATAGACTGCTAAGAAAATGAACAGGTTCATCATGGAGAGGGTTAAACCAGACTGCTCCTTGGAGGCAAGGATTATGAGGCTTCGTCTGACACACTTTGGACATGTTGCAAGGAGGGACCAGTCTTTGGAGAGGGATGTCATGCTTGGGAGGGTGGAGGAACAGTGCAGGAGAGGAAGACCGTCTATGAGATGGATTGATTCAGTGACTGAGGTAATGGGATAGGTGTGTCAGAGACAGACTGGCACAGGATAAAGGAAGGTTTAGAGCTATTATACATAGGGTCGCTATGAGTCACATGAGACTCAATAGCACATTAAAACAACAACTTTATTAATTTAGAGCTAAATTTTTTTTTAGAGCTAAATTTTTGATATTACCTTCCTTCTTGGCTATAATGATTTTCACTGCTTAAGTATTAATTACAAATAACATCCACAATTAGCATTTGTGCTCACTATTAACAATAAAATAGTAAAATAGAAGCTTACAGTTGTGGTAAATTTGGTCTAACAAAGGGATCATTTTCTGCTCCATTGACTGTCTTGTTTTTTCTTTGTTTTGGTTCAGAATTTGCAGAGGGTGCCTGAGAATTATTAGCTGTGGGAGGTTTGCGCTTGGCTAGAAGTTTCCTTTGCCTTTCAATATCTTCCCTTTGCTGATTCACCCATTCTTGCTGCCTGTGTAAAAATAAATAAATAAATAAAATAGCATGAACTTTCCAGTATTTTTCACAATTAAAACCTCTATTTTGTAAAATCACACAATATAAATGTGGAACTTCACGATATCACTTCTCTGAACCAACTCTGTGGACTCAATCTTCAGGTCTCATCTGGAATAATGTTTTCTAAGTTAGATTTTCCCTAAATTGCTTGGACTAGGAAAAGGAACAAATCATATATTAGTTTATAAGATCTAACAACAACAACAACAACAAGATTTAGTAGCAGAAACTCTTGGCCATAAACACTAAAAGCATCAAATTGACCTTCTACTCCCAGTTTTATAGTTATTATGCTAGTGCCAAGTCTACCTACCATTCATCTGCACCCCCTTTTCACTACCTATCAGTAAATTATCTTTTTTCCAATATAATTCCCATATTACCACCAGAATTCCTTCAAATACTCAATTTAGACACACAAACTATATACCAACTTTTTTTTACCCAAAATGCATTTATTGGAGCATGAAATTACAACTCTATACATTCAATTCTCAGATCTTATTGTAACTTCTGTTAATTACCCATACATCTAGGATATTACAAAACAATGCAACAATGAATGAATGAAAATCTAACTTTTCTGTAAACTTTAGTTAAAATCACAATTAATATAAGATAGATATGCAGATAAAGTAAATCTAGGTATAGAGGAATTCCCTGAATAACTCCTTTAGATATTCTGTAATTTTCCAATTATTTAAAAAAATAAAAAGACTCAGTGCAAAACAAACAAAAAAAAACATCCAAACTCAAAACAACCCTGATGCTATTACAACAAAATATTTTGCTCATCACTCTTGAAACCAACATAAATGCTGCAGTTAGACAGTTGTTGCATATTCCGTTTACTGTCCACAAATTATAGGGGCAAAAAGTAAGCTACCTGACTGTCCTCCTGAGAGTTTGTCTTTTATTATCTGAGAAAGCACAGACTGTTAGAGGTTTTCAATCACTCCCAAAGTAGAAATAGGCTTGAGTTTCCCAGAAAATACATCAAAAAAAAAGAATGGATATGTGAGCATGTACTCAAATTATAAAAGAAAACCTCACTCAGCTCAAAGTCCACCTAAATGCCTACACCTCAAGGTTTTTCTGTTAACATGAGTTATATATCAACTTTTTAATAATTAATTTGTTTACAGAGACTTAGGGTTCCCTTCATTCATTGTTGCACTTTTATATACCAATTTTTAATATTTCCTCACTAACTAGACAATTAAAGCTCAACCTGGGTTACAGTACAAGAACACTGTTTGCATTAAGAAAAGTTTGAATAAATCTACTGAGAGAACTATTTCTGGGCAGATGGCTGTTCTGTGGCAAAATCTGGGAATCAGCATTTAAAAAGCAATGTTGACATAATATCATGTGAAATAAGTCTTTGCTTTCAATTCCCATTAATTGGATTAACTCCAGGAAGCTTATATAGATGCTCACACTACTACTTCTGCTTCTTAGGTTCTTAATATGTTTCTAGCAAAAAGCAACAGAAGCTCTGACACTTTCATAAATATGCAGTCAACTCTACCTACTGACATCTGATCCCAAAACAGTAACAACGCTTTCTTTGTTCTAAAGTTTCTCAGAAATGCCAAAACCACAAAATGTTCAATTCAACTGAATTAGAAGTTCTTATACCTAAATCACAAGAGAACAAGTTCCCGTGTTTTCCTCAGGAACAGAGCAGGCAAGTGCTAAATATTAAGGCTTGGGTATTAGGAAAATCTAAGGATGTTAAAAAAATTTCAATGAAAATGAAATTTCCAATAGCTTTCTTTTCAAAGCATCATCTACAACACTAGGTTAGTTTACATGCTGGAAAAATCTCATTTAGAATATTGCATTATGCTCTATAGATGAAAACTAGTCACAAAGTCTCCTAAAGTAAAAATTATAATTCAATAGTTTTATTATATCTTCCTAAAAAGATATACTAAAATTCTGTAATTGCAAAGAGTAGAGAGTAGATGTAGAAAATAATTCAAAATCTAAAATCTCTTAAAAGACAAATGAATACTAAATCTTAAAAAATGTACAAATGACTAACTTCACAAGATTCTGAAATGCAAAACCATCCGTCCATTGTTCAGTAAATGAAGCACCATGTCTAACTGTTGTAAAGTGCCCTAGGCGTAATCGGTCTTGCATACTCTTCTCTCTGCTTGACAATTTTTCTTGAGTACTCTGAAAAAAGGAAGAAAAACTCATCACTCAAATTTATTCATTTAAATTTTAAAATCTTACAGAAGGATTAAAAAATAGCTTTCAGAAGGAAAAGAACTTGTAAAGGGATATGGAAAGGTATGAAACTTGTAACTTACTTTTTCAATAAGAAGTTTCTTGCTCATTGATATGCATTTATTTAAACGCTCCTTATATTTTTCAAGTAATTTTTGTTGTTCATCTATTTGCCGTCTGAGATCACAGTTAGCCTATAATATAAGTTAAAATGGCTAAAGGTTTACAATTTCTTAAATACAAACACACACAAAACACTGATAGGCAGCATCATGAAGGATGGAGAGGAGACTGAAACTCAACAGCTCCATCTTGTTTAAATCCACAATTAACATCCTTAGTACCAGCAGTCAAGAAATAAGGAAATGCATTGCACTGGGTAAATCTGCAGTTAGGGACCCAAATTATTGAGGACTAATGATATTGGTTTGAGGACTAAGGTGTGTCTGATTCAGGCCATGGTCTTTCTGATCACTTGCTATGCATGTGAGAGCTGGACAATGAGTAAGGATGAAAGAAACAGAATTGACGCCTTTGAGCTGTGGTGTTGGAGAAGAACACTGAACATCCCATGGAAAGGGTGCAACTGGAATGCTCTTTGGAGGGAATAATGAAGAGGCTTAGTCTCACATGGACATGTTGCTCAGAAGTGCTACTCCTTGGAGAAGGAATGCTGGGAAGGGTGGAGGGCCAGTGAAGGAGAGGACCCTTAACCAGGTGGACTGATACTGTGACTGTTGCAATGGGCTCTTCTGTGTCAGGAAGTGTGAGGATGGTGCAAGATAGAACAGAGTTCAGATCTTTTGTTCACAAGTTTGCTATGAGCTATACTCAACTCGACAGCACCTAATAACAATAACATATGTATGTATATACGTGTGTGTGTGTATATATACACACAAAAAAACCCTTAAGAATGTATTTAACAAACAGAATTACACGTAAGCATAATTGTTCTAGTATGATTCTGGAAAACCATAAAAAAATTTATGAGCTCACTCACTCATTGCTAATTGGAACTGACTCACAGTTGAAGAGTGTGCATTTTTTTCCACAGCAAAAAGGTGGATCTGAATCACCAGAGCCTTTGGACTATTAGTTCAACTTTTAACGGGCTATGCCACTTTAACTCCTTTATCATGAGATAACATCGCTAAATAATGGAAAGCTGTGGAAAGTCCACTGAATTTATATCTAAATTTGGGTCAAATTTACATTCTAAATTTGGTCACTTTATTTAAATTCCATTTTCTTATTTATAAATTACAGACAACACTACTGTGTAATAAAAAAGTTGACCCATATTTCTGAGAGGTAATCTCTAAATCCTCAGAACTTTTCAAGTGATAACCTTTGTTATTCACGGTAGACCCTAAAAGCTTATGCCGAGATGACTGGGAAGGGACACTGGCCATTCCTGATAGCTAAGCCATGCTGGTTGTTGTTGGTCAGAATTCATCCACAGTTGAACCTCCAGTGGGTTTTCAGAGGCAGTAAACTGAACAGAAAGAGACTGCCCATCCTTTTCTCATAGAGCAGCTGGTGGATTTGAATCATGTGCCTTCTGTATTAATTACAGCACAGCTTCTTACTACTAGGCTACCAGAGCTCCCAAAGTCATGTTGTTGAGTACTATAGAGCTGGAACTTACGCATAGCTGATCCTTCAGCAGGTTTTCAGAGGCAGTTAATCACATAGATTGCCAATCCTTTTCCTGCTTGAGCAGCTGATGGCCTTAAACTTCATGCCTTCAGGATTACAGCTCACCTTCTTGCCACTAAGCCACCAGAGATCTGCCTAATATTAGTCAGACCTCTGGGAAAGGGACAGCAATCACAGCTGTGCAATGAAAGCACAATAAAATCCCAGACACAGAAGGTCTAGTGAACAGCCCTAACTGCTAGTACTGCACATACTGATTTCTCCTCCTGATTCCACTGGGGGAAGACAACAAAAGCTTTGTATTTGAGATGCTCCTAGATCCTGCCTATGAGTTTTCCTTTGATGGAGGACTTTGCTATAATGAAAGTGAAATTTTAAGTACAGCAATTTCCTGATTTGTTCCAGCAAATTACTGAAGGGAAAGCTTGGGTCCTGCAGGCTTACATTTGTTATCTATCTGAAGTAAAAGGTATCTCGTAGAGAATTATGTGTTTGAAAAACTTGGCCTAAATCCAAGCATTAGCATCAGAACTTATTTTTACAAAGTGAGGTAGATGGCAGAAATAACTGAAATATAAAATAAAAGGTATCTAAAACTTTTAGAATTTTTTTTGTCATTAAACTTATAATGTCAGTGCAGTCATCTATCCAACAACTATGCCATAATTCTTTCTTGGTAACAAATTATCAATTTTGTTCACTTTGTAAGTAGCCGTATGTCCAGAAAAATGAGTTCTGTCTCAGCATAGGAGTCTGAGTAGTTTAATATAGTGACAAGAAAATTCCCTGGATGGACTGTTGAAACATGCATTGCTGAGACCAAATCCATTTCTGAGTTAACAGATCTAGGGTGGAACGTGAAGATTTTCACTTTTTTTACAGATGCTTTCGGCCTAGAGAATGCACGTTGAGAACCCTTGGCACTACTCACCAGAATGATAAAAGCCAAAGGACAGTGGCACAACACTTGCAAAATTCTATGTGAAATACCTGCCACCCTAAAATTTATATTCAATATAATAGGTTTTCTAAAATATAGTAGAATAAAGAAATTCTCCAAAGAAATGAAAAGAAATTTGACATCCATATATCTTCACTAAAATACCTTAGGTCAACAGAAACAGACTATTTCCTAATAAAGATAAAGCACCCCGAGGCACCTATTTCCAAAAGGCACAGCCCCAGAAAATTCTATGGAATATACATGTTGTTGTTAGGTGCCATGGACTTGAGTACAACTCATAGTGACCCTCTAAGCAGAGCTGATCTTTGTTCTATCCTGTGCCATCCTTATGATCTGACACACTTGAACATATTGCAACCATTACTATGTCAATCTATCACTATGAGAGTTTTCCTCTCTTTTGCAGTCCCTCCAAGCATGAAGCATCTCTCCAAGAAACAGCCTCAACTAACAATATGCCCAAAGTTTGTGAGACGAAGTTTTGCTATCATTGCCTCAAAAAAGAACTCTGGTTGTACTTTCTCTAAGATTTATCTGTGTATTCTTTTGGCAGTCCAGGGAGGATATTCAGTACTCTTCTCCAACACCACCACTCAAAAGCATCAATCAATTCTTCTCTCATCCTTATTCACTGTACATCTCTCAGATGCATACATCTACATGAGGTCACTGTAAATTGGTATTAACTATACAGCAACTTTTTTTTCTTTTACTAAAACCTGTCACACATGTCTTAAACATGAAATTTTAAAAATAGTTACTTTAAAATTAGGAGCACCTCAATCATGCCTAGTATCACATCTATGTAACACTGTTCTAAAGACGTGACATAGAGTAGAAACAGTGGATAAACAGAAGACTTAGGAAATGGGGAAAAAAGTCTTTATTTGTAGATAATGACTATCCACACTTGATATACATAATTAGATATAAATACAGAAACAAATTAAGATGAAATATCACACCTAAAAATAAATTCCATGAGGTCAACAACTAAAATAGAAAGCTCAAACTATAACACTTTTAAAAATACATCTATCTATTCACCATTTCTTCATTCAGCATGAAGAAATGTAAAGATAGTTCATAAACCTGGGAGAAATCAACCTAGATGGCCAACAAAACTTAGTGTCAATAAGAAAAAGAAGTAAAACCCATTGACTAGCTACTGCACAGAAGAAACAGAAATGATTAATAATTATTTTAACAGATGTTCAAAATAATAAGTAGAGAATGATTAATAAAATCATGAGATGGTATGTTTATTCACCAGACACAAGCAACAAAATGAAAAATTTTAAATACCCAGTTTTAAATTTTAAATTCCCAGTGTTTACAAGCATAAAGAAAAACAGGAGTCTTTTTTACCCACTGCCTGTAGGAGTGCAAATTGATTCAATCCTTGGGGAAAACTGGCATTACAAAGTTTAGCTGAAAATATACATGCCTGTATTTTGGTCATGCCTCTCTAAGCACATACCACAAGGATATTCTTACACATTTACCCTAGGAGACATGCACAAGAATATTGTTAGCAGAACTGTCTATATTAGGACAAACTGTAAACAAAACTGCCACCAAAAAGAGAGTAAATGATGGTACAGCCTTATAGTACCGTACTATACAGTAATGAAATGAACAAACCACAGATATATTCATCAGTATGACTAACTATGCTACACAAAGTTAAATTCCAAAACAGACAGAAACAAATTGTTCTTAAACAATTGTTTAAACACACACACACACACCACACACACACACACACACACACACACACACGGAAACATAAGGGTAAAATGAATACAAATTCAGAATAGTTGTTAATGTTAGAGGGATGTGAGACACTGAATAGGAGGGCATCAGGAAAAGATACACTGAAAGGTCCAGAGAGTAGGCTGGTGTTCATTTAATTTTGCTTTTTATATTATGGTTGATAAAGCTGGTCTAAATTAGAATCATTTGGAGAGTTTTAAAAACTACTAATCTCAGCTTCAATATCAAATCAATTTAATAAAGCCCTGCTAAGGGGAACTCAGGCAGCATTTTTCAAAAGTGCCCCTAACCCTTTACATCTGGTTAAGTTTATGAGGAGCCAAAAAGTGAAACTACTGCTTTATTCCTTACCTACATCATAGATATGCTTTTAAACATATTTCTTAAAATGTTCCTTAAAAAAAAACTAAGACTACGAAGATTGTTTCACTCTATATAGTTTCAGCTAAGACATTTAATAAAATAAATTTATTTGAAAACATGAAATGGGCATGTCTAAGGGTAACTAATGAAACAAAAATGTTATTTTCAATCATGTACTTATACTATTGCCCTAAAAGCTTTTTCTCCCTCCTCAAATGGAATTTGTTTTACCAATGATAAGGACTTTCTGTGTAGAAAACGAAAAGCTATTCTGTTCTCTAAATTAAGTATTTTTTTCTTCCTCCATGAAGTATACTTACCCTGAGCAAATCATCTATCCGACCTTCTTTCTTTTCCAGGTCCTGGTTTTTATTACTTTCTAATGCTGCTAATTTCAGCATTGTGAGATCAGTCTAAATAAAGGAGAATTATTTTAATTATCTTTATTACATAAATCACTGCACTGAAACATAAAACTAGATTTTACTTTAACTTTAAAAAGAAAAATTAATTAAATAAATGTATCAGTTTACATGCATGCATAAAAGGTAGTCCAAAAAGTCTTAGCACATAAGCATTATTGAAGTCAGAAGCAATAACTGCTACAAATATCATAAATTTAAAAAATGGAAATAAACTAAGTGATGTGGTAAGAGCCTCCTCCTCCTCCAATCTCCAGGTGTAACCATCATATATAAAAAAAATGTAAAATATTTTGTACTCAAAATTTCTAAAACTAAGTGATCATACAAGATTATTTCAATCAATTTTCAAATTTTTTTGCTCTTTGTAGAATCTATGTATGTAGCTAAATACAGACCCTGACTTAAGATTTACTTTACTGTCCACTTATAGTCAACACAGCAAACTCATAAAAACATCCCTTTATATTATCTATGCATCGGCTCCGTCTAACATACTTTGGACATGTTGTAAGGAGGGACTGGTCTTTGTAGAGGGGCATCATGCTTGGTAGGGTGGAGGGACAGCGCAGGAGGGGAAGACCCTCTATGAGGTGGACTGATTCAGTGACTGGGTAATTGGGATGGGTGTATCGGAGACGGCGCGATTGGCACAGGACAGAGCAGAGTTTAGGGCTGTTGTATACAGGGTCGCTATGAGTCGCAAGTGACTCAACAGCACATAACAACAACAACAACATGCATCGGAAAGCTGGACAATGACTAGGGATGACAGAAAGAGAATTGATACCTTTGAGCTGTGGCGCTGCAGAAGAGTACTGACTATATCATGGACTGCTAGAACAAAGGAGTTTGTCCTAGAGAGGGTGAGACCAGTTTGCTCCCTGGAGGCAAGGATTCTGAAACTTTGTCTGATATACTCTGGACATGAAGCAAGGTGGGAACCAGTCCTTGGACACGGATATCATGCTTGGGAGGATGGAGGGACAGTGAAAGAAGCAGACCTTCAATGAGATGGACTGATTCAGTGACTGGGGTAATGAGGGTAGGTTTGTTGCAGACAATAAGATCGGCACAGGATAGAGCAGGTTTTAGGACTGTTGTACATAGGGTCACTGTGAGTCGCAGGCGACTTAACAGCCATTAGCAACAACAACGACTATACGGATGTGTGTTAAATTAATAAACAATCAGTAAACAGAATAAATATGTTACAGTTGTTCTGTTTATCAGATATGAACAAACACCTATATTTTTACTGGTGTATGACAGGTAAATTGGATGTTTCTACTTAGCTATCTGTAAAAAGCTGGCTACTGGTTTCTTAGAAGTTGTAGGGAAAAAAGTTAAATTACCATTTACCTGAGTAATTTTTAAAGATAACTGCTTTGGTTGTACAACAGGGTGGTCCCCAAAAGCTAATGCAGTAGGAGAAGGGCTATTCGGTCGAACCTAAGGGGGTGGGAAGATGAAAATGTTTATATTGGCAGAGGGGAAAATGTAGGATTCTACAAGGTCATAATTATTTTATATTTCTTAAGAAATATTTTTGTCTTGAAACAAATGAATTTGAAAAATTTAACCACTATTTAACAAGCATTCACAAATTATATCATACAGAAGGCCCTGTAGGAGACAAAAAAGAGCCACTATCTTCAAGGAATTCAGTCTAATGCCATAAAATAAACCATACTTCTTTCAAATTATTTAAACAAAATACAGCTAAAGATGGGCAGTCTCTTCTTGTGTGACTCAAAGTTCCTGAAAGCCAGCTGGAGGGTCAATTATAAGTTCATTCCAATTCAATGGAACATAAAAACAACATACAAAAATCATTAATTAAAAAGAACTGCATTTGAAATGTTAAAAGTAACCCAAAACATGGTAAGATGATATTTAAAGGGGAGCTCTGGTGGCCTAGTGGGAAGAAGCTGCACTGCAATTCCAAAGGTGCACAGTTCAAATCCACCAGATGCTCTGCTGGGAAAGGAAGGACAATCTCCTCCTCCTGTACCAGTCAGATTCGATTTGATGGTACACACACACACACATAATAATAATAATAATAAAAAAGATGATGCTTAAGTAAAAAATCCTTTAACCTCTGCTGAATGAAATGATCCAAACGTACGTAGTTCGTTGTATCTATCTATCTCTCTCTCTCAATCTTCTTAAGAATTAAGACAGAAATTATGCTATCATTTTACCCGTTGAAAAATTAAACTGGTGATATAGTTAGTAATCAATAAGTGAGTTTGAACTGACATGATTCATTTTAGTCCTAGGGGCTCAACAATATTCTTTTATAAAGCATCACATCTTGGATATAATTAATTCAGGAGATCTTTCATTTATGAAGCTCTCTTGCAGAAATAAAGTACATATAATACATAAAAATATTATGAAAAGGTTTCAACTGATTCGCAGGATGCTTTTTATTAAATATAAATTATATAGAAGGTAATCAATAACAACAAAAACATTTCAACAAGTATAACTTTCTAGATATAGACTGAGCACATAAACTTGAAATGTGAAAACTTACAGACAAAGAAGGAGTGGAATGTGAATGTGAATTTTGAGGAGAACGGATTGCAGGAGGTATGCCTCTTACTGGACTTGAGCCATTACCACCCTGGTACTAAGAAAAATAAAATAAAGAGAAAGTACAGTTATTTCTAAACAGGCTTACACGATTGTTTAAGAAATGGCAGTAAGAATTCATTTAAATATATTTTATTTTAAATTAAATCCAGAAGTTATTTATCTAGGTCTAGAAAAGGCAAAAGCCAAGGTCAGTTATTGTACCTAAGTGTAAATGGAGCATACTAATCACAAGGGAGTAACAAGATTAGGTATTATAAAGACTCTAAATTCTTTTTACATTCTGATTATAATTCTTTTGATCCCAAATTTCAGCACATTTCTTTTATAATTATTGTTTGCTGAATCAATACAACTAATAATGTTAATGATTTTTTTAAAAATGCCTATATGGCAAGCTCTGGTGGCCTAGTGGCAAGAAGCTGTATTCCAATCCCAGAGGCAAGTGGTTCAAATACACCAGATGCTCTGCTGGAGAAGGAAGGACAATCTCCTCCTGTACCAGTCAATTCCGATTTGATGGTACACACGTACAAAATAATAAAAAAAAAATTAAAAAGAAAAAAATGCCTACATGTAGATAAACGTCAATGAACACAAACCTTTCCTAATACATAATCCTTTTTCTTAAGATCTGTTAAATATCCTAATGACTATGGCATGACACAAAAAAGAATAATTCTACCAAGTTCCTTACCTTTTGTAGCACAAAAGCTAATAATTTTTTTTTTTTTTTAGATTTTAATGAAAGTTTATAAAGAACCTGGATTTCCAGTCATTCATTGCTGCACATTTTCCTACCTGCCCTGCCCCCACTTCCCAATTCGCTTTTTTTTTCTTTGGGAAAAAGTTCTGTCATTATTATACAGTCCCCCTCCACCAACCACTTTTTACTATGCAATGCTTATTCTGGACTCTTGTTATGTCAGTAATACCTAATCATATATTCCTTTTATATAGTTCTCTCTCTCCTTTGTGTGTTTCAATGCCATATACATTATATATCCCCTCTTTTCTTAGTTTCTCCCCAACCTCCTTATCAGTCCTGTTCTATAACAATGGCATTATGCATTATTTATCTTTTTGTGACTGAGATATTTCACTCAGCATAATGTCCTCCAGGGTCACCTATTTTGTATAATATTTCATTAGTTCCTTGTTTTTTAATGCAGCATAGTATTCCATTGTGTAAATATACCACAGATTCTCTATCCATTCATTTGGGCACTTGGGTTGTTTCCAACTCTTTGCTATTATGAACAAAGCAGCAATAAAGATGCCACTGTTGTAGAATGAGGCTGATATCAGGGTGGGGTTAAGTCTGAGAAAAAATGGATAAATTATGCATACTGCATGCACTGCAGCTGATGAGGGAGAGAACAGTTTAAAAGTAATGTATTTCAGGGCTTTATCATTATCATAAGTTTGGAATGAGGGTTGCAGAGTGGAGTATACTCGGGGTGGGGGTGGGGGTGGG